TTCCCCAGAGCAATATCATCCTGTCCAGTTACCACAAAACAGACATAATAACCCCAAAAAGCAATATAGTCTTGAAGGAAAAGAGGGGGAAATGTTAAAAATTCAAAAGGCGCAAATGACTGACCTTCCTATAAGTGGGCCTAAACAGCCTCTCGACAAAAGCAAGAACAAACATATCAAAAAAGCCAGGAGCAACACCAGGAGTGGCCCAGAGATAAGAGAGAGCACCAAGAGCCAAGGCAGCACCAGGGGCTGTGAGTGTTAACCCACTAGACTTGGGCAAAGTGCTCCTGTAAATAATATCGCCGCACTCCATGACTGTACACGGCAAACCGACTCCCACACCTACAAAAAGATGTCGAACTGCCTCGATCAATTCAGCTTTGAAAGAGGGAATTGCGGGTTTGGAGATGGCGGCGTTTGAAGAGGGTTTTTGCTTGAGTTTCTTGCCAAGAAATGGACATGATAGGGGTTTTGACTTGTGCGTGTGGGCATTGATTAGTGCTATATTAGCGCCTCCCGGGGCAATAGTTGCCATCTTCCTGTACAGAAGAAGGGCTTACAGTTCGGGGGAAGAAGGAAGTTAAGTCAGCACATACAAATTCTTCACTCCAACCAGCTTCAAATCTACACCACTAATTTCTTTTTTTGGTCTGATTTTTCATTCTTTTTTTTTTTTTTCGTCTTAACAGTGACAGTTATTTCAGGTATTTATTGCGGAGACGAATTTATATATTTTTATTTTAATATTTAATTATTTAAAGTGGATTATAAGAGCAAGATGCACCACAAATGACACGTCGGCACACTCCACGTGGACTAGGCTCCGATATTATCTGCTCGTTGATGTGCATTTCTGTTCTCTAGCCCATATACCTGTAATTTAGCATGGATCAAACCCATAATGGGCTTGTTATAATTTACCCAATTCATATTGTGGTGGCTTAAAATAGTCCCTCAAAATTATTGGAAACCAAATGTCGAACAATAAGGAAAAGATAAAAGAATATATATGGGCTATTCTTATACCTTTGTTTTCTTTTTCTTTCTTTCAATTTTTACAGGAAATAAAGTAATAAATTTAATGTAATACGTAAGACATACAGATTCATGTACGTACAAATCCATCTGTACATTTTACACTGTGTCACACTATCTAGATTCTATGAAATGTGATCTGGAGACAACCCAAATTAAGAATTGAATAAAGTGGGAAACATCTGGCCACGTGCCACCATACCGTCTACTTTTTACTGTGTGTAATAATAATACCACCTTTTTCTGGAGATTTTCAAATTCTTCAATTACCACCACCTACTCTCATCCATACTTTTTATTCCAATCCGGAACATCTTTACCCATGCAACCAATCATATTTCAAAACGCGGTCATCCGCAATCACAGCCGTCAATCATACTTCATTGTAACTGTCATCCACCGTCACTTTCCTTTCCCCCCCTTCCTTGCCATAACAGTTCACATCACAGCTCCCCCGACTCTTCCTTTCCGCCTCTATCCTCTTCGTCTTCCTCCGGCGCGTTTCTATTGTTTCTCGGTTCCGTCGGAGATAGGACCTCTAGGAATCGCGATGGACTCTCTCGACTCATCAGCCATCCGAAAACAGAGAAGGGTGTCGGTAGAGATCGTATGGGGCCCACAAGGAATCTAACGGGCACGGTTTCTTGGAGTCGATCCTCAGCCATGGCTTCCCCTTTCCGCTCCAGTGAAGCAAGCTCACGGGTCCTGGGTGCAGATCTCTGCACCGCCCTTCCAGGTTATCCCCACCGAGACCGTGCTGGTTCCACCTGTGTTCCACCCTCTCAACATCGCCGGCGAATACCAGAAGAAACGGAGGCAGCGATCCCAGCTCGTAAATCCTGATCCTCTTTTGAATCCTCATCCAGTACNNNNACCATCACCCCCGTGTTAAAATAACACGGCCTCCTCCCCTTAAAGGAGGCCGCAAAAGCCGCGTTCGACCAGAATTTAGGAGTGAAGTAGTTGGTGAAGTTGGCGTGCCAGTACTCGGGAGCACCCAGGACATGTGTACCCAGGTTGATACTCCACAGTTTCGCCACGTCATCTATTACGACGAGATCGGAATCGAAGTAGATAATGCGACGAACGGTGGCGGGCAAGAGATCGGCGAGGTAGATCCTGGCATAGTTCAATGGCTGATCGAGAGCTCTGCGTATGGAGGAGGAGATCTTGCCCTTGACGAGGTTGGGATCGAAGAGGTAAAGATGGAAGTCGAGGTAAGGGAAGGTAGTGGAAATGATACGACGCAGCTCTGGGCTACGGCGTTGGGTAGCGATGAAATGGAACACAACATTCTCGGGACAAGAAGCGTGCTGGAGAACGGAAAGCACGCCGGCGACGGAGCCTCGAAGATAGACGGTGTCGAGTGTCATGGCTATGTGGATGATTGAAGGGTGGGAATGAGATTTCTTGTCGGCCGAGGACCATCTGGGTTTGGAGCATTCTCGGCCGTTTCGAAATGCCGGCGCTTCTCTGAAAAAAGGGAGGTCGGTGGAGCTGCCATTAGTGATCAAGAATAGAAGCACAACAAACAGACTGCGATACGTTGGTGGCATAGTGGCGGTGTGTGTGTCGGTGTTGGTTAGAAGAAGAAGAAGAAGAAGAAGAATAAGAGGGAAGAGAGAAGGTTAAATTTGTAAATTCAATGTGATTTGTTCTCTTTTTATTATGGGTCAAGTGTGGGACCCAGCAATGGTGGACAGAGCCAGCCTGGCACGACGCGTCTTTCCTTTTTTTCTTTTGTCTCTGTACTGAGTGAATATTTCAATATTTCTTTCCTTTTTTTTTTTCTTCCTCTGTGCGTGTATGTTTGGGAGGAAATGATCCTGCGGTGGTGACTCTACCGTATAGTGGGTAGACTTTAGCTCTATGGTCCATGAATCGAAAGGGCAAGATTGTATTACAGTTGGGACCCAGTGTGGAGCCCATTTCCGTCCCAAATGCGTGAAGATGAAAATATCACATGTGATCAATCCGAATTACGGCATACGATGTGGATTATAAAGGACAAGAGCGTAGAGTTGTTGAGAGTGATAAAAGGATATTAATGTCTTTACACCAACCACCGCGTCTGCCTCAATTTAATCCCCGTAATTAGGACACTTTCTTTTTTAAGTAGAAACTAATTAAGGACGCTTTGGAGTGAAGTGTCTGTCTTAGATTCTTTCTTATCCGTACGGTTTGATTCCTGAAATTCATATTACCATTTTAACGTACTCTGGAAGTTGAGGGCGGTCACCCTATACGACTGCGTTTAGCAAATCAAACAATTTTATATTTACTCTTATTATTAAATTTATTAACCATGCAGCAACAAAGAAAACGCCAAAAGGAATGAGTGGGGGCAGTTTCGCCATTTCAAAATGGAAGCTGTTGCAAACGTCATTTTTGTGATCAGTAAGTGGTATGTATTGCATAGAGAGAATTTAATAGGAATCTTCGACCTGCAATTTGATACATGGGTCTTTCATTTTCTATACTTTTCAGCTCTTCTTCACACTCTTTCAGGCCAGGCCCACTAACATCCTGCTTATGACAATATGATGTATTTATTCCATCATATATTTACATCTTTTATAAATAAATATCGAAAAACATTGTGTTATGTTATATGTATATACATACACACATGGGTCATAGCGCATTTTCTCTTGGGCGTTGTTGTGTGTGGAAATACGAAAACAAAAAAAAAATGGAGATTAATTAAATTGACGAACATTCTTCGCTAACAAGACTTTATTATTACTTAATTGCTGCTTTAAACACCATTAATATTATCCTAACTTCAACAACACTGCCTAATTCCAAATTACCAATCATCAATTACTTACCACTTCCCTCTTTCCTTCAATTAATGAAAATATATATATATATATATAATTAATTCATTCATTCATAAATGCCGCCTTTGATTATGCCTTGACATGTAGTTCCTGCTTGCCTCTCTTTTAAGCTTTTGACCACCTTCCTTCAAGTTAGGAGCTTTCCGCAATTTCCAATTTTGACTTCTAACTTCAAACAAATATATAATATATGTAAATTATTTTCTAATTAAGAGACCGAGACTGAGGAGGTTGAACTTTTCACTTTCATTTATGATATTTTTTTTATAAAAAAAAACAAAAATTATGAAGGGATTGGTAGTGGAACAACTTCTTTTTTACAAATCTATGTGATCCGAGTTGAGTTTTGTTGAATCTAATGATGTATTATTTTATTTGGATTTTGTCCTCTAAAAAACAACCCACAAATCTGATTTTTTTTTTTTATATAAGTAAAGAAATTCTCCTTTCTCTAACTAACTAATTGATATATTAAAAACAAAATTTACATACTATTATAATCATTTAATTCAAAAAATTTATTTATTCAACATAGTCTATCGTATTAGAAATGTCCATCTGAATTTTTGTCTATTAGAAGACAATTTTATTTAAGAGATACTGTAATCTTTTCTAATAAGTAAATATATTATTTCTATTTTAACTTATGCAAGATTTTATAGAAACTTTTATGTATTATTATGGTAATTTATATTTATTACAAAGTCATCACAACACTGATAAAAATACATGTTTTAATATGCAAGAGATAACTGATGATGTTGAAAATAACTATGTCCGGCAACAATTTGAGGAATTTATTAAGGTCACCAATGCTTACCTCAATTTTAACTCATTCGTTCGTAGTAGAGTTATATTTTTTTTTCTATGAGAAAAATAGAGTTAGGTTTAAAAAGTTGAAAATAACATAAATGTCAAGCCATATATTTTTCATCCTCTTTTTCACTATGTCATGTCATATTGTTTTTTTTTTTTTTTTAACGATGCTTTCTTCTTCTTGGTAGGTACTATTTCATTTGTGCCCTAATGTAAAGAAGTTCCCTCTCTTCTATGCCCATAGTCTTCTTCTAAACTTTATTAATCTCTTTTACTTTTTTATAGTATTATTTTTTTTGCAGTATTTTAAAATAATATAAGAATCAATTTAAATATTTTAAATGGCACATGTAATACCCGGGCTCAGAATTCGATCCGGTATAATTTTAAATTTTAAAAAAATATATAAAAATATAATTTTAAAATTTATAAATTTTTGTTTAATGTGAAATTAGGGAAAAAAAATAGGTTGAACATAAAATTAAAAATAATTTTGAGAAAAAAGAGTGAAAATTTATGTCTCAATGGTGTTTTTTAAAGAAAAATCAGAAACTAAAAGTCAAAATGCAATTAAAAAAAATTGCACCACGTAGGACCGCAAAGTCAGCAGCTCGACGAACCAGAGCGCGCCACGTGGTAAGGCACACTGATTCGGTGCCACACGGGAGGCCACGTTAGCAATTCGCGTGCCCGCGATCAGACAGTCAGGAAGTGTTCTCGCGCGCGTGGATAGTCTGAATCTGTTCCCTCCTCATGCACGATCAGACGATCGTAATTAAACGCGATGAATGATTCAAATTCTTTTTCTCTTTAAATGCGATCGGACAGTCGAGATCAAATCGCGAAAAATTATCTAGATTCATTTTTTCTTTAAATACGATCGGACAGTCGAAATCAAACACGATGAACGGTCCAGATTTAAGTGAAACGGGTATAAATATCTCACATCACACCGAACTCAAACCCTAGCCACCAGCCTCACATCGGAGAAGAGAACCAGTCGTCAAAGAAGGGAGCCGACTGCCGCCCGCCAACGTGCCGGAGCCACTTCCGACCGCTAAAAAAAGTAAAAATGCTTCTATTCGCTCGAAATTTAATTTTAAGCACCCCGATGACTAAATAGGAATAAAAAGAACGGTGAATGAGCCAGAAACTACAGGTAAAGTTCGGCGATGTCGCCGAGAGCAAAACTTGAAACCATCTCCGATGAGCCACTTCTCGTTTTCTATTTCGTGCGATTTTTTTACCATTGTGTTCACCATTCTATTTTCTATAAGTTGACCGAATAAAAACACTCAACCGCAAAGGTGAGCCGACAGAGCTGCCGCACCGAAAAAATCTTGCCGCCGATAGGTTTTTGTTTTTTGACTTTTTTAGGCCAATCGAGGCCACCTAATGTATTTTTTTGCAGGGATGAGTATAAAACTAGCTGAAATTGACTAGACTGAGACAAACCTCCGCTGTGAGCGACAGTGTTGTCACCAAAGTGCAGTAGTGCTACCGTGCTGGAATTTCAAAATTATCCATAAAAGATTTTTAACACCGGTTTTGGATTTTTTAGGATTTTTTAAGTACGTGAAGCATATTTTAATCTCTACAATAAAAATTCAAGAAACTCTTAGACCGCCAGTAGGCGCAGTAAAAAATTCAGTATTTCAAACACCGATTCAGATAAGAATCTCTCACTTTATTCTCTATTATGGAATTAAAACTTAATAATCAGTAATATGGTATTTTGTGTAATTTAGAAAACCTTGAGAATAATTATAGGTCACCAATAGAGCCATAACCAATTAGTCATTTATTTGTTGTCTTGTGTGATTAATTGATGAATTTACAACTCTAAATACATGATGACGTATTGGTATGGTTAATTGATTCAATTGTGCTTCCTTAATATATATATTGCTTATCTTTCGTGATTTACGGTTGATTTATAAAATTAGTAATTAATATGTAAACGAAAAATTGATTGGTCATGTAAATTAATAAATGGTAGCCTCGTTGGATATCCTGAGAGATGGTGGATGGAACAGGTACATAAAAAATCCTACTGTGAACGTTGTCTCATACCGGACGGAATATCGAAAATTGATATTTTTGACACTCATACCGGACGGAGTATGGGGACGGTCGGTTAGTTGACAATGTTGAATGTTAATTCACGTATAATGGAGCATCCTAATAGGCCCTCAGGGATACCAGTATGCAAATAAAAAGAGAAAGTAGTTGTTATTGATCGCTTGAAATGAGATTTAAATATCATTGGAATTATTGTATCTTTATAGATCATTTTGAAAATTTCGTAACAGTAAATATATGCAATAAATAGTTTTTCCTTATAAAATGAATTTACTTAAATCAAGAAGTTCATTTGTTGTTTTTATGATTTTTAACAACCTTCAATTTCTGTATTGGTGAGTAGTGTAATATTCTTACTGGGCTAGTGTAGCTCACCCTTTCATTAACTATTTCATATCAAGAGCACCAAAACTCATATCTCGATCAATAAGAGAGTTGTGAATAGTTCACCACCCGGACTCCCTTCAAAAGCTAGTGAAGATCGTTATAAAATGCTCAGTTATTAGTTTTTATTTATTTCCTTGATTTTCGTAATTTCTTTTACAATGGTCATTCTCGTAATCCTATTGGACATTCTAAATTATTGTGTAAGGAATGTAAACTCTAAACTCTATTGTTTCGCTTCAGCATTTAATTTATGAATTTATTTTCTTTTAAGTTCTAAGTCATAACAGTTGGTATCAGAGTTAAACTCTTCAAAACCATTCCTTACACAAAGATTTAAAACCATCAAATACGAGTTATCGCTCAACCTTTCTCTGTGAAAAATAAGTACAAAGACACGAAGAGATGAAGTCCCTTATCGAACAGGGCAGCCCAAGACAAGTCACTTGGAGAGGATATCGATCGACTTTTCGAGATTTTAGAGAGACTCATCTCTACCCAGTAGGCCAAGGAAGATAGGAAGAAACTGTCTAACCCTCTACTATTTTCACACTATGAGCCACCCCTACAATGAAATGATCTAACGTCACCTCGATGCAATCCTTTTCCTCTGTCATATCATCCGACACCGTCGCAATATAATTCGGAGCCCCCACTGTATCATCTGGCACTGTTACAGGGTGGGTCATCCAGTCCCTCCCTAACAACATCTGACCTCTCTTCCACGGGACTCGGTTTCATCCATGATAGACCTGATAGAGATTGATACGGAGGACTTTGATGTAATCTTATGAATGAACTGACTAGCGGCGTATCACGCCACCAAAAATTATTTTCACAAGAGACTTGTATTCAACCTTTTTAATGAAAAGTCATTTACAAATTAATAAAATTCTTGAAATATTATTCCCTTATGGTAATTTTTCTATTACTAAGTGCTTTAATTCGGCTGTTTTCCTAAGAAAAAATGTGCATTCGAGAGATTCCGGTAGTCTG